GGGCGGCGGCCCACACAGACGCTCGGGAACAGCATTGCCAGGGGCCGAAGGGGGAGGGGGACGAGACCCCCAAAAACCCCACGGCACCCCAAGCACGAGGCTGGGAAGCCACACACCAGACGCCCTCGCATCGTGGCCCGGCATGGGCTCCAGGCTCCACCACTCGACACACTGCATGCGAGGCAGGGGCGGGGACGGATCGGGAACGTCCTCCACTCACCACACCAGATGACGGCCAGGGAGAGGCCCCGCGGGACCCTCCCCCAGCTCGGAGGGGGGAGGCGCAGGCACGCAGTTACTGACGTGGGCAGCCACTAACGCTCAAAAGCAGGACAGGGAGTGGCAGGGCCGCGGGAGCCCATCGGGTGCGGGCCCCCACCAACCCAGCAGCGCATGCCGCTTCCCGAACGAGGATCGCTAGAGAACCTCTCCTCACTTGAGGGTGGCCTGCACCCAACCCCGACGGGAACCCCGCCGGGACCAGCACACATCAGAGGCGTCCATCCTTCCCACCACGGGGGCAGGGAGGGGTGGGGCAGGGGGGTTCTGCGGCAGCAGCAACACCAACCCTGGTCAGTCGGCCTTGCCGTGCGGGGCCAGAGCAAAGTCGCGCACACAGGCAGAAGCCCGCACAGGCCTGGCTCGCCTCCCACTGCAACATCTAAGGTCCCCCGGTGCAATAAAAGCCAGGTGACACGGCAGGGAAGACAAGCCAGGACCAGGGCGGCAGCTCATGCTGGGAAGCCACCACCCAGAGCAACAAGGGAAGAGCGCTCCTCTGGGGAACCGCCTCGACCCCCCCAGCAGAGATGTCAACCTCAACGGTAACTTCTCACTCACACAAGCCCCACGAACCCAAGGACGGCCGGGACACACCACAGGCAGCAGGCTGGCACAAGGCAGCGGACAATGCCAGGATCTGGAACGACACAGCCACTCAGCCTCAGACACCTGAGAGAACCAACCGGGAGCGTTCCGGGAGCACTGCGAGAGGGCAGAGCGCGAGGCGCGGCTTTTCACACCACACAGCATGGGCAAGCACGGAGCACCGACCCTCCCTCTCTGCGGAGAGAGCCGACCCCCGTGCCGATAAGGAGTCACAGGAAGAGAGGAGCAAGATCAGGGCGACCCCCTCATCCAGCGTGTACAAGTCCCGGACCTCCCGGCGAGGGCAGGGAGAGCGCAGCCGGACCCGGTTGCCGCACCCCTGCCTCCCCGCATACCACCGGCGCCGGCACGGTGGGACGGTGAGGGCAGGGGCCCACGGGCAGAACGAGAAGAGCGTTCCCATTCACCATGAATGTCCGTCCCTCGCCTGGCGCAGCTTAGGCCCGGGCCCAAAAGAGATCGCAACATCACCACATCAATCACACCGAGGGGGTGGAGAAGACAGCCACACGGCACTCGGGAGGCGGTGGCCCAGGAAGCTCAGCTCCTGAGAGGGGCCAACAGCCTGGGATAAAAGCGTAGCAGGACAGACACCCTTTCGTGAGTAACAAGCGAGGTAAAAAGAAAAAAGAAAAAAAAAACGAAAAAAAGAAATGAAAAAATACCACGGGCTTAAACGTCCCTGGCACTCGGGATAACCAGGACACCTCTGCCGGGCACAGGACCGAAGAAGCTAGAAAGGGAGAAAAGAAAAAAAAGAAAAAAAAGCCACGGACAGCGCTTGGGAGTAGCGCAGCTCAGCGGCCGACCAGGCCTGCCATCGGGAAGCGGCAGGTCGGGGGAGTTGGAGAGCTAGGGGCAATAGGAGAAAGAAAAAAAAAAGGAGCCACGGAGGTCGGGCGTGCCCAACTGCAGAACGGGGATGCCGCACACGCACAGGCAAGGCAGGACTCGCCCCCCCACTTTTCCTCCTCAAGCCAGCCACGGCGAGGGAAGTACACCGCACGGGCCTACCTACGCACCCCAGGCAACCAACCACTCTCCTCCTCGGCGTGCCGAGGCAAGGGCCAGAATCCGGCACCGGGAGCGGGGGAGAGATCAAGGACGACGGGACTCACTCAGCCGCCAACCACCAACCAACCACCACCACACCCACGAGCCACCACAGGGGCACAGGGCCTGCTCAGGGCAGCGGGAGCCCAGGGTGCGGGGGGAAGGACAGGGGGACCCGGACCGGGAAGAGACGGGAAAGGCCCGGCACACAGCATCTGAGAGAGCCCCCAAAGACCTGCTGACAGCCACTGGGACACAGCATGCCAGCACCCTCCTGCAGGTACAAAATCCTCACGTCACCATGCCAAAACCAGGTCCCCAACACGTCCCCAACAGAGCCAGCACGCACACACCCGGGACTCCCGGGCTCGGGTCCCCGACTCCCGGGGTGCTCCCTCCGCCTCGAGTTTTCCCCTACGCAGGGCCCACCGGGCAAGTCCCTGCAGATGGTAGGTAGGTCCCGGCCCCGAGGCTCGCCTCGGCCGTGCCCAAGGCTCCTCCCGCCGGAGAGGTCTGTCCTCCGGCCGCCGGGGCCATGGAGGAAGGCCACACAGGGCCGGCGACCCAGGCCCTCGCACCTGGCATGCGCCAAGCGCTCACTCGGAGGTGACTCCGGGGAGGGGGGGGGTCCGAGTCCGGGCCGGGACCAGCCCCACCACCTATCCGCTCACCCAGGGACCCTCTCCCCCGACTCCCGAGACGTCCCTCGTACTCTCCTTTTTTCGCCTTCAAAGACCAGAGTCCAGGGAGGGGAGGAGGACAAGGCCTCGGGCCCAGACAAAACTACTGGTCGACCCGATAAAGCTGCCACCCCCGCACAGACCGGGCACGGAAGAGAGAGCGGCAACGCATGGCCCTACCCCGTGCTCGCCTGCGGGCGCAAAGTCCGACAGAACAGCCGCCCCAGTCCCACCATCTGCCTGCCCGTCTTTTTGTTTTGGGGGGGGGGTTGTTTGTACGTTTTGTTTTCTTTTTCCCCCAGGTGGAAACCAGAAAGGAAAAAAAAAAACTCCCAAAGATGGGTCGGCTCCAGCAAGAGAGGAGCCCTCGGGAGGCACCCCGCTCACTTGTGAAAGTCCACCGCTCTCCCTCCCCACAACACACTCCCTCCCCCCGCCCCCACTCGCCACCCCTCACAGGCAGGGAAAGGGCAGGGGGAAGACCAGAGAGAGGTTTCTTCTAACACACAGAGAGTAGGTACGTCACACACACAGGTCTGGAAAACCACGGTGACAGTGCAATGGGAAGCGTGAGTCCACTCATCCATCACTGAATGACAGGAAAGCCAAACGAGAGCCACTGGCTGGGTGGGGAAGGAAGGGGAGGTGGCACCCGTGTGTCGCTTATCCCCGGGCACCACACCGGACGGAACGACCTTCTCACCAGTTCGTACTCTAGCCTGTCCAGACAGCTAGCCTTTTCTAATAGGCTCTGCCACTCTCTCTGAAGCAGGATTCGGGGCATGAGGCGATGAATCTAAACCCTACACATAGGCGTTGGAGGGTAGAGGCATCATCACTCACATGCCTGTGGTGGAGGACCTGGACCTGAGCGTGGCGGTGCACAGTGTGTGTGTGCGGGGCTGGGGGGAGGGCAGGTAGGGAACCCTAGGAGGAAAGACAGGGAGAGACGAGGGGCCCCGGCCCAAACAGAGTGGAGGCATCAGAGGGGCGATCCTATCTCCCGGGGGCGAAGCACGGTTAGAACCCACAGGCCCGGAGGGCGTACTTCTCTTTGGAGTTCGCACTGGGAACATACGCAGGCACAAGTGCCCCAGCACACACATCGCATCACAGACGGGTAGAGAGGCAGAGCCAGGGAATCAGGCATGGCAAACACTCTATTCCGTCAACACACACACACACACACGTTACGGTGTGTGTACAATATCCACAAGGTAAAAGTTTATTCATCTGTTCCCCAAAGAATAAGAATAAGATTATGTCAGTTACAGGGAAGTAGATCGATGGACTAGGAGCGCGTCGGGGGGGGGGGGGGGGGGCTGCCGGCGGCGGAGAAGGACCTAGAACAGGTGATGCCAGGGGAAGACAGACCGGTGGAAAGACAGACCGACCTACCGACCGACCGACCAACGGCACGGCACGTGTTTTCCCTCCTATGTGGATGCTAGACCTAAACTATAACTGGACATGGTAAGCTACACAGCACTCCGGGCAAACAGAGTGTGTGTGCCCCCATGTGTGTGACACACATACAGTCCTTTTGTCAGAAGGTGTAACTTCTCTGAGCATTTAAGATATTGCAGAGAAGACATAAGACGTAATATCCATAAGTGGCATGACTGTGAAGGTATTATAACAACCGGACATGTTAGGATTAAAGCTGGAATTAGGAGGACAGAAACGTACCTGTCCTAACGCTTTTGGTCATTATTACAAGTATATTTGGTTTAGGATCTTTCAAAACACATTGATTTATCCTTCTGGACATGATGGTCTATGACCACACTAGTAAATAGCCACTTCAAAGCCAGATCATCGGTTGGATACGTTTCAATTGGTTTATATTGCATCCTCCAATATTTTTTTCTTCTTTTTATTCTATCTTCTCGCTAAAGATCCAGTGGTATAAAGCTACTTTTATTCTCTTAATATTCCATAACTGAAGTGATCTGCTTTGTTTTGCAGCTTTCTCAGCTTAACTCACTGAGGCCTATTTAGTCACACATGATGAGAGGTCCAGAAACATCTTTGGGGCCACGGATGGCTTTTGTAAAGTCTATTTGGGGAAATAGCAAATATAATCTACCATGTCCTAAAATGTAACAGATTATCTCTATGGGACCGATAGAAATATCCAGATGTGCCCTGTCAACAGCCAGTTATTTTAATTTACTTAAGGGAAATCAAGTGAATAAAAGTCTATATAGTTCAAGAAATTTTATTCTGATACCTATATAAAAAGTTTACCTGAGTAGGTGAGGACATTGGTTTATATTGCAAGTGATTCTAGAGAAGACAGAGAAAAGAGAATAGAGGGGGATTGTCCCTTGCTGTTGGGTGTGGGGTGGGGTGGAGAAAATAAGGGAAAAAGAAGGCCACAGATTGGATTATTAGAGTGAAAAACCATGGTGAAAATGGAATGGGAAGCAAGTTTACTCACCAATCATGTAATCATTGTCCTAGTTCTCCAGACAGGTTGTAATCTTCTTTTCAGTACTGGTGCTCCAGCCACTCTAGAAACCATACATGTAAGCTTCCACTAGCGCTAGACTTTCCGTACTAATTGTAGTCTTGCGCGTCTTTTCACAACCCAGCTTCTCAATGCCATAATAACAGATAACTGGGGAGCCACATTAAAAAAATAGCCTTCCATGGGCTGGGAAGGCGGCTCATTGGTAGAGCTCTTGCCTTGCATGCCTGAGGCCCTGGGTTCGATTCCTCAGCACCACATAAGCAAAAAGAAAAAAGCTTGGAGTGGCGCTGTGGCTCAAGTGGTACAGTGCTAGCCTTGAGTTGAAGAGCTGAGGGACAGCATCCAGGCCCAGAGTTCAGGTCCCGTGACCGGAACCTCCCCCCCACAAAAAAAAATAGCCTCCCAGGAAATACAGGAGCCATTTAGTCAGCTTGCCCCACCCACACCCAGAAGGGAAGATAGAGGGTGGGTGTTGGCCTAGTAGGGAGGCAGAGTTCCACAGGTAACTGAGATAACTTTTGTTTTGTAAATGTAGTCATGGCAACGACTTAGTTGCAGTGTTGCTTAGGACCTTTTAGAAGAAACTGGAATTCCAAGAAGAGAAGGACTGTTATCAGGAAATGTAGGCAGGAAGCCTCTCAGAGAACTACCTTTTGCAAAGGCCAAGGCCTAAGTTAATGAGTGCGTAAGATAAGAACACTGCAAGAAAGCAATCTTAAGGTAGTGTTCTATACAGAATATATTAATAGACTTGAAAAATACAAGAAATATCACATGGAAATGATTCATACAAAACAAAAAATTGAAATGAATTCTTTATTTCTTCTTTTCTTCCTTACCTTTTTTTTTTTTTTGGATGTGAGGATTGAGCTCAGTGCCTGGGTGTTGATATTTACATTTTATTTTTTCCCCAAGGCAGCTACTAGTATACATTTTTGGGCAACAGCTCCACATGTGGTTTCCTGGGGAATCCTTAATCTCACAGTAGACTAAAAGACTACCCTGTTAGGCCAGCTTGGAAACGACCCTTAGATTTCTCTCAGCCTTCTAAGTAGCTGTGGGTTACAGAGATGAGCCAGCAGCATAAGGCTAATGGGGCTCATTTTGTACAGGGGAAATTGTCTTTGATTTGGAACTGGAAAGCTGTGCTATGTATCTATAACAACTGTAGTTTCAGGTCTGTTGAAGGTTTCCTCAGGGCTGATTAGTACTGTGTAATGCAGGACCACAAGGAGGGCAGAATCACATGAGGCGGCACTTTATGGTGCCAGTAAAATCAAGAAGCTCTCACTACCCGCCAAGTGTGATGGGTATTCCTTCCTTTCCCTGCCCTCACTCAGAACAATAGAACGACAGTGAGCAAACTCCATCTAGTGTCCACTTTCTGAAAATACCATGCTTGTGAATTCCAGTTTCCTCTCATGAAATGAATGAATCAAGGAAGGGTGGGGATGGGGCACTGTAGGAATTGAGATTAAAAATAATCATTGCAGGCACCATGAGACCAAAGTTTGAATTATAAGATTCTAAGGTATTGTATGAAAAAGACAAGAGTTTTGGCTCAAGGAATTAGAAATAGAAAAGAAAATGCAATCTGTGACTAAACAGGAGAGAAAATGAGAAAATATTGGTTTGAGTTTTGAATGTGATTGGTTAATTCTATTTTGAATGGTGAAGGCCAATACTCCATTTTAACTCCAGCTAAACTATTGTATTGTAAATCTTTTTTTTGTGTCGGTCGTGGGACTTGAACTCTGGGCTTGGGAGCTGTCCCTCAACTCTTCAGCTCAAGGCGAGCGCTCTACCACTTGAGCTACAGCGCCACTTCCGGTTTTCTGGTTATTGGAGATAGGCGTCTCAAGGTCTCTCCTGCCCGGGCTGGCTTTGAACTGCGATCCTCAGATCTCAGCATCCTGAGTAGCTAGGATTATAGGCCTGAGCCAGCAGCGCCCAGCTTGTAAATCTTTTAACTTATGCTTCTGTAAAAATTACAAACAGATGCTAACCCTCATAAAGGACACATTGTTAATTCCTCCAAGGGACAATCTGTCTTTATCTCTTTCTTTACTGTGTGGCTACACCTAAGCGTCTGGGGCACTATCACAGAACGTTTTATTTATATACGAGTAGTTTTCTACCAGTTTTGAGCCACAGCACCATTTATGGGTGTCTCCCGCCAATGGTGACTTTGAATCATGATCCTCCGATGTCTCTCAGCCATCTCAGTACCTAGGATTATAGGCTTAAGCCATAAGCACCCAGCTCAGAGACTAATTATGTTTACAGCAAAATGTACATTTGGAACTGAGAAGCTACAGTATCTAAATGATTGAGGTCGCAGCTCTACTACAGATTTCCTCAGGGTGAATTAGTATTATATTATGCAAGAGTGAAAACTGGCAGATATCAGTACTGTCCTGTGTGCTTCAGTCAGGCAGAACACGGTGCATCCAAGGTATGGTGCCAGGATAATCACTGATATGCCAGAGTCCAGCCATCACCAACGTTCTTCTCCCTCTCTAGGCAATGTTATGGTGAGCACTCGCCACCTACTGTCTATTTTCTGCAACTACCCAGGTTAGGAATTCCAGTTGTCTGACAGGAAATAAGCCAGAGAATTCTTGTGGGTCCAAAGGTGGGGTAAAAGGCAGGGCACTGTAGGAATGCAACAGAGTTCCACAGAGGTGCAACCACAGAACTCAGTCCAAGATTTGATTTGTCTTCTGGGCTGCCTGACACTCTCCACAGATTATTCAAAGCAGTGGTATTGGTACCAAGCTAGGTAGCAGAGCCAGAAAACAAGCAGTTCCCTCTCCCCCTTAGCCAACCTCCCCTCACACTTCACAGAGAATAAGAAATGGAGGAAATAAAGGGAAAGAGGGGGCAATATGGGTTATAGATTGAGGTATGAAAAGCCACTTCAGTTACCTAAAAACTGACATTTAATATGCCTAAATAATAGCAATGATCTTCACATAGTGATGACATATGATTTCAAATTAATTTATTGTCATATGATTTCGTGAAATTTTATCTCTTGAGAATACCGATGGAGAGAAAAGGTAAGGATAAGGAAAATCTCTCTAACCTTATCGCTTCTGGCATAAACATTTAACATGTTCTGGAAAGTAATTACTAGAAAATACAGTACATTTCCAACAGAGAAAGAATTACACTATAAGTTGAAGATATGGCATCGTTGAATGCACAGCATTAGTAATGCATGCATGATGCCTAGGTTTGAGATAAAGACATACTAATTAAATGTTACACATACAGTTTGTATACACAAACTGTATACACCTAATAATAGGATATCAAAATATATACAACAAATACTGCCACAGACATGGTTTGGGGATTGATGAGGAAGGAGAGAAATAAATAGAACAAATAAGGGCTGGGAAGATGGCTCAGTGGTAGAGCGCTTGCCTTGCATGCCTGAGGCCCTGGGTTCCATTCCTCAGCACCACATAAGCAAAATGAAAAAAGACGGAAGTGGCGCTGTGGCTAAAGTGTTAGAGCGCTAGCCTTGAGCTGAAGAGCTGAGGGACAGCGCCCAGGCCCAGAGTTCAGGCCCCACAACCGGCCCCCCCCCAAAAAAAGAGAAAAAGTCAGCCCGCCATTACATCACACCTGATCAACAATAGTACATAAGGCTGAGTAAGGCTTACCCAAAATCCCTCTTAACTTCAAATCACATGACTTTTCTTCACTCATTGCCTTTGCAATAAAACAGAGGCCAGAGGATCCATGCTAGTGCAGACTCTGACATCAGGTCACAAGAAGACAGACAGGTAGAGAAATCTGAATCCCACCTTGCTTTTGTCTCATTCCTTTTCACTGTGAAAGGGCCTTACATGCCTTCTCCTGGCTCTAGCTACAGTCCTTTTCTCCCTCTCAAGGACCAGCTGCAAGAGCACACTGAAAAGGCTGTGGGTCTTTCCTCAACATGACCTCCTCAACAGGACCATTAATTGACCCCTACTAAGCATGCTGTGATTTTCAAAATCAATGACTACTTAGATAAATTTAAAGTGCCAATAAGGTAGTAAAGAATTTCTAAATATAGTGATACAATACTTAGTAGTTCATGAGTTATGACAAAGCAAACCAAAATCTGTTTTTATTTAATTGACATGCTTGTGTTTGGCTTTGCCACTCATGCTTTAGGTTGACCTTGAAGTATGGGATGTCTACAATTATAATTGTTTTTAAGGTGGAGGTACAGCTCATCAGTAGAGAATCTAACTAAGGTCCTGTTAGCAAAATGAGTCCCTTCCCATAGCTTTAGTCCATTCCCTCCCTTCTCCACAGCTTAACATACTCCCTTCCTAAGCAACGCTAGGCCCACATAGTAAAGGCAGTACATAATCAACTTCCAACCCCCTTTACCTTGGGATGGCACTTCTCTGGGACCGATACCACCATATAAGGCAACAAGAACCCTTAGGGTGAACTTCAGGTTTGGGCAGTTGCAGGACCCTTATCTACTAGGTGGATAGGAGGCATAAATCCTAGTCTGACATGATGAAGTCCCTGGCCCACATGTGGACACCAGGGTCTCCACCTCCTAGCACCTTCTATCACCTCCTACACCTCCTAGGTTATATAGGTCACCCCAAAAAATAACCGGTGCTTCTTCTCATTCCTCCCTTGGGAGAAGGAGTCTTGCAGGCACTCTTTCCCCACCAATAAACCTTTCTTTGTTCTCTGTACCTTGCTGTCTGCATGGTTATCTGGCAAAGTATACTTAATATTAATTTTGCCATCAGTTCCTTTCCAAACACTGGAAAACCAAAAAACCAGACATCTATTTCTATATATGTGTACATATATATGAAGGCATGAAAAGGCCAACAAGTGTATTATCAGTCATTACTTCATTTACAAAGAAATGAAAGCACAGCACAAATACATCCACGAATCTCTCCTTTAAAAACAGCTTTGATGTTCTACACAATCCATGCAGATTTATGAAAAATACATATTTTAACATGTACCCTTTCATGTTCCTGTCCAAAAACGAATCTATTTGTCAGCGTGAAGAATGACAACATGTACTATCTGACCGGGCACTAGGCAACCTAATTTTTATTTCCTATGTATCCCAAACTTAAATCTACCAGGAAGTTATATTGCACCACCACCACCACCACCACAAAAGCTTAGATTTTCTCTGAAACACAGAATCACATTAAAAATTACCTTACAATTTTTCCAAACTTCAGTAGGTGGTATAAATGCTGCATGAATAACAAGCTGGCTATACATAAACTGAGGCCCCGGTGGGGCTTTTGTGTATTTCCTTCAACACTAGTTCCTGAAGCCCAGGGATTCCATTCAATGGTAATGCTCACGGGTTCTGGTCTCCATGGTGATTGGGCCCTGCATTCCCTCACATCTGGGTCTGCATTCCCGGTGAGCCAATCTGTGCGACCAAGCCGCATCTACTGACCCAAGGAGAAGCCGATTCGCTGAAAAGCCTGGGCTCCCGCAGGTTGCATAGACCTGTAGTGAATAAAGCCTCACACCATCGTGCTCTCGCTTGCACACTGGCGGCACCGGGGTGCGGAGCCCGGCCTGGTGCTTGCGGGGAAGGGTGGCCTCTGGGCTCGGGGTAGCGGGGTCGTGAACTTGGCTGGCTCATGTCTGGGCACGGATCCTGGTCTAAACTTGTGGTAGAGAATCAGAAGCGCTGAGCAGCAGGCACAACTCTGGCCAAGGCCTTGGTGGCACCGTCCCAGGAGCTGGATCAGGTGAGTCCACCACACCATGCCTTATGGAAACACCTGGTGGGAGGTAGCGGATCCTCCACTGCCCGGTAAGCCCCACTGCACATGCGCAGCCCTGCCCCCCCCTCCCCCCCCTCCCCCCCTTCCCCCCCCTCCCCCCCTCCCCCACCTTCCCCCCCCCCCCCCCCCCCCCCCCCCCCGCGTTGCCGGAGGTCAGGGTCCAGATTCGGTCCCCTAGTCAAGGTTGTCAGTGGCCGGTGCGGGGTGTGGTCGACAGGACCCGCAGGGGGAGCCCTGGGCAAAGAACTGGGTCCTTCTGGGGCTCTGTGTGGACCGGCTCCTGGGGCGTTAGTGGGTCATGGGAACCAGGGTTCGGACCGCAGCACCTAGCAGCAGAGCGGGATAGCGAACAGTATCAGGAGATGGAATGGCCCCCAAGTGTGCTGGGCACCCACACATCGTCAAGCCGCCTTCGTTGAGGGAAAGGCAGGGAAAGGCAGAGCGGCTCGGGGACAATCTTTCAAGAAATAACCGATTCGGTATCTCGTTAACTGTCATGGGAAAAGCTGCATAGATGAAATCGGAGGCAGGGGCTGGGCCACCGCACCCGCACCGGACCGCGGTGCACGCAGCTTCTACGTCCCTCCTGGCCATCTCCTTCCGCTGCACCCTCCTCCTCTCCTTTGCCCTTTTATTAAGGGATGATGAGGATGACTCTTAGTGGAGAAGGACTGTCCTGAGAGCAGCCCAGGTCTCCAGGGCCAGGCCATTCCACAGGCTGGAGCTGAAACTACTGTGGTGCTCAGAGCCTGGGTGCAGTGAATGCTGTTTCCCGCCAGAGGGCGCGCTCAGCACGTGGGCATCATGGGGCCCAGGGTGTAGTGAGCGCTGCTTCCTGCTAGAGGGTCCTCTGGGAGCATGCACATGCTAGGTTGTTCTGTCAGACTCCCTTCTCAGATAATGATTAGGAGAGTCACAATTAGGTTTGCTTCAAATAAAACCTAAAAGGAAATAAGTTCCATGCATGTATTATAATGAAAGGACTTGAAAAACAATTAGTATTGACCTGTTTTCTGTATGTTAAAGGCTGCTTGGATAGGTGAGGTGAACTAATGTAGGAGAAGTCAGGGTGATAGGGTTAGAATGCGGTACAGAGAAAAATGAAAAGTAGTGAAAGTAATTTTCATGATAGCGAGTACATATGAACAGACATTCCATGCTAATAAGTAGGTGATGAATGGTTAAATTAATTCAGATCATTCATGTGACTTTAGGAATATCAAGGTATAGAGATGAATATGGTTCTGGGGGTAATAATTTTCAGCATTATCAGAGATTAAAGCTTTGCAGGTAATGAGTGTAGTTATTTTACACTGCAAGAATAATACCAAACCCACAGCAGCTTCACAGCCTATCAATGTGAGAATATTATTAGGCAATGTAAAACACGGAGTAAAATGTGTGTTCAAGATTATTACAGTGAGCCAGGAGCTGGTGGCTCATGCCTGTAATACAAGCTACTCAGGAGACTGAGATCTGAGGATCATTGTTCAAACCAGCCCTGGCAGGAAAGTCCATGAGACTCTTGATCTCCAATAAACCACTAGAAAACCGGAAGTGGTGCTGTGGCTCAAGCGGTAGAGTGCTCACCTTGAGCTGAAGAGCACAAGGACAGTGCCTAAGCACAGAGTTCAAGCCCCAGGACCAAAAAAAAATTTTTTTTAAAGTACGCTATCATAAATAATGATGATATTATACTGTCAAAGCAGAGAGGAAGAATGTGAGACCGGAAACATCAGAGCTCAGCATGCAGAGTAGCTACCATTACAGGCATGAAACACCAATGCCCAGCTTAATAAGGAATTTGTTATTATAGAAATACTTAAGTAATTGTACAAAGAATTTCAATTCAACATATCAGTTTGTGAGTGCAATGTGTCATTACATTTACAAATAGTATTTTATGAAGTTGATGTACAAAGGGTTTTCATGTCCATACTTTAGATCATGAGTGCAATGCATATGATAGATGTCACCCGTTTTATCATTCTTGTCATCCCTTCCCCAGCCCCCATCACCTGTTTGTCTAGTTCCATTTTCACACATTTACATTGACTATCGTGGCTGCATTCATCTACCTTTCCTTTCTTCACTGGTCTACCCCACTTTCCTTGACTTTATCCTTCCACCCTTGTCATGCTATTCAGGTGTTCAAAGGAGTTACACCATTGGAATCCTTCCTGAATATACTATACTATAGTTCATGCTTTTGTGCAGGGTCCTGTTTTCCTTAGAAACAGCTATTATTCCAAGATCCATGACTTAGTGTGGGGTCAGGGTCAACATTTCACTAGTATGTTTCCCTAGGTGGTCAGATTTCTACCCAAGATAGAAGTCCTGTGGGTTTTGTTGTTGTTGTTCTTGTTTCCCCACATCCTTGCATTTTCTTTTTATTTATTTCTTGCTCTTTCTTTTTCTTTTTCTTCTGTCAGTCATGGAAAAACACTCTGGGCCTGGACCCTGTCCCTGAGAATTTCAGTTCAAGGTTACCGCTGTACCACTTGAACCACACTGCCATTTCCAGTTTTCTGAGTGGTTTATTGGAGACAGAAGTCTCACGGGCTTTCCTGCAGGGGCTGGCTTTGAAGCATGATCCTCAGATTGCACCATCCTGAGTAGTTAGGATTACAGGCAGGAGCCACCGATGACCAGCTCTTTGTGTGTGTTTGTGTGTGTGTGTGTGTGTGTGTGTGTGTGTGTGTGTGTGTGTGTGTGTATGTGTATGTGTGTGTGCCCCAGTCCTGAGAATTGAATACTGACACTTGAATTCAGGACCTGTGTTGTCTCTGAGCTTCTTATTTTTTGCACTCTGCCACTGGAGCCACAGCTCCACTTCTGGATTTTTTTGGGCAAGTTACTGGAGATGAGTATCACAGATTTCCTGCCTAGGCTGGCTTTCACCCTTATTCTTCACATCTCAGCATCTCAAACACAAAGATGGAACTTTAATAATAGCAAGCTATCATGTGACAGATGCCAATATATTAGGTTTGCTAGACAGACTACTGAGTTCTCAGTATCTCTAATGTGAGTTCAGACCTCCAAAACAGCAAGCAATAAACCATCATGACTGTCTCTGGGAATATACAATTTTTAAAAATATTCGATTACCAGCTGGGTGCCAGTTACTCACATCTGTAATCATCGATACTCATGAAGCTGAGATCTGAGGATTGCAGTTTTAAGCCAACCTGGGTAGGAGTCACTTATCTACAATAAGCTACTCAGAAAAAACTGTGTAGTGGCTCAAGTGCTTCAATGTGGCTCAAGTGGTAGAGTGCTACCCTTGAGCACAAACAGGCTCAGGGACAGTGCCTAGGCTCAGAATTCAAGACTTGGGACTGGAAAAACATTCTTCCCAGAGCCCCCACAAATAACAAATAGCTTCCTTTATAACGAAGGCTTACATTAACTATATTTATTCTCTGTACAATAGCAAATGCCACCTTATATTCATAAATCAAGACTTGCTTCAAAAATTCTATTTTGTAAAAATAGAAAAATGACAAATTCATAAATCAAAAGTGGCTTACGTTAAATAAAGAAGTTTCCAGTTAAAGGAAGAACAGTCCTGGAACTCAGAATTCAGGGCTCAGCAGGAGACTTGCTCCCACAGACCTAGGACTCACCTGACCTGTGGCTTCTCATATCCAGGAAGTCCAGAAGGATGTTGTAAATGATCATGAGGTTCATTAGGAATGTTACCAGGTAGGGAATAGTGCACTTGATTAAAGTCAGTAGAATTGGATGGGGTGATAAGCCGGGCTCAGGGCTCCTTCCCTGACCTGAGAGTCACCTCGGTGTGGTGTGACTGACATAAATGGTCAAATGTAAGCTGTCTCTAGTAAATCAGAAATCTTGATAAAAATCATTTATCAGAAGTGCAGGTAAGGGAACTAGGATATTTTTCTATCAGTGCAGGACAGAAGCAATGGTGTTTTTTAAACATTTATTATTATTGTTGTTATTGTTATCTTTAGGTGGTTGTACAAAGAAGTTTCCATTCTACAAGACAGTATATAAATACAAGTTGTCTGACAACATTGTCACTCATCCCTCCTAGCAATGGTGTTTTGAACAAGAAAAAATAATGTGTCAGCAGTGGTAGAATGCTTGCCTTGCAGGCATGAGCCATGAGTGGGGAGGTGCTGGTAGGAGGCAGATAGTGCTGGGATTGGAACCAGAGTGAGGAGGGGCAGCTGCTAATCATGGTAAATCTGGGAACAGGAAGCCAGCGGGGCAACCTAAGGACATTCACCCACCAGGGCCCATGAGAGGGCCACATCCAGGGCACTTGCAAGCAGGCAGGAGGGACCAGGACACTGCAGTCCTGGAGAGAGCCAGTGTGGACTCCCACTAGTGTGTCCTGTCCCTACTGACTGTCCAACAATGCAGCCTCACTTTATTCAGAAGGAACTGGGGAACTAGCTCAGACCCTGATGCCCTGCCAGTCCCCAGTGCCTTCTCAGGCCACCTCCCTTCTCAATCCTTTCCCCTCCCCCCCTCCCCAACCCACACCTGAATGGAAAACAGAAAAAGATATTTTCAAGTCTTGTTTGTTATAAGATTCTTGAACATAAAATAAAGAACACTTGCAATAATATAAAGGGTTAGCACAATTAAAAAATGATCAGTGCTGAACACCAGGAGCGCTGAGCTCAGACCTGCTGATGGCTGTTGTACACCTGCCTGAACAGACTAACCACCACTCAATATTGCACATTAAATTACAATCATTTATGGGGATTTTCATCTCCATTGTTTGAAAGAAGTTCCTCAGCAATGTGTCATCCCATGATGGATCATGCTATCATCTTATTTAGTGAGCATGCTGAGAGCTGGAGAATAACAATTCAAAAGCAGCCTAGGCAGAAAAGTCTAGGAGATTCCAACTGCAAAACAACCAGCTAAAGGCCAAGCCAAAGGCATTTTTCAGGAGTTAGAATACCTCATGCTCTGCTATTGTAACTATGGAATCAAAGGTGTGCACATGTGCATCCTGCCTGGGAACACTGCAGTTTCTAGCTTCTGGGCAGCAGGACAGGGAGTTCATCTCTTCTTTATTATTTGGTAGAATCTGGCATTTTGTATAATTCCCTATATTCTCTATGTTTTATTTACTGATCATAGTGATGAAACTCGGGGCTGGGCACTGTCCCTGAGCAATTTGGTTCAAGGATAGTGCTCTACCACTTGAGTCATAACATCACATTCTGCATTTTGGTGATTAATTGGAGGTGACAGCCTCATGAACTTTCCTGGGCTGACTTTGAACCATGGTGCTCAGATCTCAGCAGCTAGCATTACAGAACCATGGGCATAAAACTTTTGTTAGAGGTTAGTCCTTAGTGTCTTAGTCAAGATTTTAGCTGAGATGGAGTCAGAGGAGAAGTAGCAAATTCATCCTGACTGTCTGCTTTCAGAAAAACAACTTATTGCATTTAATTTTTCTATAAACTCTGCTCTGTTTCTAAGGAAACTGAAAACTTCTTATTTTTTACTTAATAAGCTGTGTCCCTGAGCTCTTTTTGTTGAGGAGTAGCATTATGCCATTGGATCCATAGCTCCACTTCTGGAGCTATTTTGGAAATTAAAAAATAAATAAAACTCGGTGGGGAAGGTGGCTCAGTGGTAAGTGCTTGACTTGCATGCATGAAGCCCTAGATTCGATTCCTCAGCACAAACCACATAAGCAGAAAAAGCTGAATGTGGCACTCATCATTTGATATGGATGAGTTGGTGTCTCACAAAGTTTTTGCCCAGGATGGCTTCAAACCACACATCTACTTCCTAGGTTTACAGGTGTGACCCACTATGCCATGGTTGTGGTTACTATCAATTGTCAACTAGAAAAGGCTAAGAAATGCATTAGAGGTTACTAATGCACAACTCTTGGTGTATAATAGAGGCTATTTCATGAGAGCAATTATGTGCACTTTGCACATAATGTTAACTTGTAACACCCTGGAAAAAGCATTTGTAGACAAACATTTAAAAATACATGTAGGTGGTACCTTGTAGGACCCAGATTTAAGCAAGATGACAGGCTCCATGGAATGAAAATCAGTGTGCCTAGAAGTGGACTTTAAAAGCAGTTTCCTTTGAAATATCTTTTCTCTTCCTGCTTGATAAGCATCCTGATACACTATTACAGCAGCAGAAGTGGATAAGAGCAGAGAGCACTACCTTGAAACATTTTCTTCCAATCTAAAGTGGACCTTCCTCTGACATATGATGACAGGACAATGGTAGGCTTCCACACTTATGTGGTCACTCAATAGGAATACACTAAAGCCATCCCTCAATCTGGTCCTATGCTTAGTAATGAAGAAACATGCGATGACCATCTTGCACTCCATTCACCATTTGAGAAAATGAAATTTGGTGTATTTACTAATAGAGTGTGTAGTATAATAAAGTTTTTTAAACTGCAACAAATAAAAAATAAATTTATAAATTAAACTGAACAAAAAACACCCTAGAAAGTAGTGGTTTTAAGAAGAATTTGAGAGCTTGGCAGCAGTGGCACATGCTGGGAGCTGAATCAAAGCCTACCAAGACAGAAAAGTGTTGTCCCCATCTCCAAGAAAAAAAAAAAAAGCAGAGTC